GATTTAGCGGAACGAAATGTCCAGAGGACTGAAATAGTAGATTGTGCATCAAGGGAGGGAAATGGATGATTTCCGACGAGTGTAGTTTGCAGTTCGAGGCGTAGCGAGCAAACGAGCCGAAGGCGAGTGCTTGCGAGCGAAGCCGAGAACTGTAAAACAAGAGTGGAAATCAATTTTCCTCCCGAGTTGCACATACTATTTTTTCTAACACACGTATACCGAAAGTACAAACGCGGCAGTTTGATTGTTACTTTTGAATGTATAGTTGTAGCTGGGGGCGGTATAGTTACAACTGTGGTAACTGAAAGTTTGTGAAAAGCTTAAAATAACTAAACTAACCCAAAGAGCGTAGGTTTACGCAAGTAGCGTAAGTAACGTAAGTAACGTAAGTTACGTAACTTACGTAAATCATTTATTATTTGTAACTCGAAAGACTAACATAACTACACCATTTACGTAAGCTACGTAACTACACCATTTGCGTAACTCGCGTAAGTTACGTAAGTCACTTAGCTGACGTAACTCACGTAACTGATTCATCAATGGTCATACTTTGATAATATTACCGAGAAAGCAAGTTACTTTTCCTCCCTCACGTCACTAGCCGGGAGGGAATGTACATTCCCTCCCGCTCGCAGGGAATCATACACTTTTCTCCCGCTAAACACGTAGGAAATGGTGTACTTTCGGTGCGTGTGGTAGAAAAAATATATTAACGCAATTACAAAGGATGAATTCCAAAAACAGAATTTGCTGCAAGTTACTGAAAAGTATCAAACAGACTATCCAAATGCGTTAAAAAAGACGGTCTGTAAGAAAAGAAGATTTAGTGAATAAAGTAGTCCTCTTTTTAATCTAAATTTTTGTCTTTAAATGCATTTAAAAACCTATTAAAAATATTTTGAAGATTTCCCAAATAAAAACACCGGATTAAACCCAAACCTTTGACTTTTAAATTAAAGTTTTTCTCGACTTTATGTCCTACGAAAGGTGAATAAACAACGAGTGTGTCCGATTTTTGCACTTTAACTTGTAAAATTTGGCTAAATATATTAGTCTCTATATTAAAAGCTTTATAACTTATTCAATTATGAACCGAAAATCTTGTATTTTAAGTCAGTTTAAAGGTAAGAGTGTGCACTTGAAGAATCTAAAACAGATTTAAAAAATTTTGTTAAATAGAAAAATTATTTTTAAAAAACCAAAAGTTTATAAAATCCCATGTAAAGGGGGGCCCAAAACTTCAACTTGGTAAATAAGAGCCATCCTAATATATAGAGTTAAATTCCAGTTGAATTTCATTTTGGGAGATAATTTAGGCCTAAACGAAATATTAAGATTTGTAGTGTTTTAATGCAAACTATTTTTGTAGAATGTGCAAATTAGGCTCAAAAGAAACTTCTGAAATGTGCGAAGAAGATGAGTCCGAATTGAGAACGAAAATTAATTATAAAGCAGATGTACGAAAGAAAGGCAGATTTGTCAAAAAGCGGAATCAAAGAACGATGCGTGTTTAATGATGTAATCGGCTCTCATCTTACGGAAAATGTGACAGTAGATATGATGCATGATGTATTAGAAGGTGTTTGCGTTTATATCATGAGTTTTATTATATTATACACATTTATTTTTGAAAAAGAATATTTCACTTTAGAAACTTTGAATAAAGCAATTACAAACTATTATGCTGAATCGATTGACTCATAATAAACTTATAAAAATGTCGGCATCGGAAATGATGAACTTGGTACGTTATTTTGGGTTGATAATAGGGCATTCAATACCGGAAAACGATAAGCACTGGAAATTATATACCTACTTAAGACAAATTTTAGACATCTTACTTTCGTCTAGGTTTATTCGTGCCGATGCAAAAGTACTGACAAATTTTATAAAGAAGCAAAATGAGTTATATAAAGAATTGTACGACAATCTGCAACCTAAATTTCATTTACTGCTACATTACAAAAGAATTTTACTCAATAATGGGCCATACTGTGCATTTATTGTAGAAAATACTGGTGATTGTAAGTTAGTAAAACAATAAGAGCTACCAAACATTGATCCTGTTTTATCAGTTTACAAAATCGATACTCACTTTGTTATACCTCGCTACAAATTGTGAAAGCGAAAAAATTTAGTTTGTAAAAACCAGGTCTGATAAAAATCATGATTTTGTTGAAAAAATGGCATTATTATTATCTTCTAAAGTTAATAATTACAGTATAGGCATTTGAAACATATGTAGACAAAAAAAAATATTTTTACTATTTTTTTAAACAACTACTTTGTTTTATTTTAACCTTATTTTTTAACTTCACATTTTTAATGATAATCGAAGACGGATTAACCTTTTTTAATTTTCGAAAGCTTATTTTAAAGCTGAGATTACAACGAACCTTTCTGTGTTTTTAGAAAAATTTTATATAAATTTTTCTAGATTTTTGAAAAAGTTGAAGTCAAGAGACAAAAATGAGAAAATTTGATAATTTTTTTTATTTCTTTCTCACTCTACAACTCAAAAAATAGTTAACAAAATAACTTCAAAGATGCCTTATTTTACGCAAAATTTAATCAGCTTTCTAACCGTATTTAAGTTTTTTTGTATCTTCTTTTATTTACGAGATATAATTAAAAAAGCGATGGCATGTTTTTTATAGAGTCGCGTGTAATCGTCCTGATACTCGTGGTCGGCAATGTATATGATTTTATCTTTCAACTAGTTTAGTTAATTAGATTAGTTTAGCTTAGTTAATTTAGAAATTTCGTCTTTGAAAATCCCTACATGGGAATCTACATGGAAACATATGTCAATATTTATGTTAAAACCCGACTTCCATAATGAAAACTATATGGATTCCTATGTAAAATTCGTCATGTGAAATCTTTTTTCATTTTTTGAAAAATACTCCTATATTAAATACCACATCAAACTTGAAAAATTTTTGTCTCCAATTTTCAAGTTATCTATGCAGGGTTGCTACGCAACCTGAAAAACCTAGAATTGTCAGGGAATTTTATAAACTTTGGAAAAACCTGGAAAAGTCAGGGCTTTTTATCGAAATCCTGGAAAATTGTTGTTTTCTAAAATTATTGTGTTTATTTTTAAAATCTAGTTTTTCTTAAGTAGATGTTTTCTAGTTCATAAGTAGATGAACTTCAAAAGATTTTGATTTAAAATTTTATAAAATTTCAATTTTAAATGAATTTAATTAGAAATACCTATGTATAAAAAAAATTTAATTAAAAAAAAAAAATTTTAAACTAAAATTCTTCTGAAATTAGTTAAATTTTTTAATAATATTATTTAATTGAACATTAACAATAATAGATTTATAGAAGAATTTTAGTTAAAAACACTAAAACAAATTGAATTTTGTAGCACTTACAAGTGATTGCAGAAATTAAATTATTTTCAAAAATTTTAATAAAATTCTTTGCGTAACAATTCAAATTTTTTCAAAATAACATTAATTTAATTTAATTTCTTTGCAGAAATCCAACTATGTTAAAAAATTTACAAAAATTCTCAAAAAAAATTCAATTATCTTCAAAAATAATAACATTTTTCTCCGAAATTCAATTATTTTCAAAACTTTTAATAAAATTCTTGGCAGAATTTCAATTATTTTTAATATAATTTTCATCAAATTTCTCGAAAAATGCAATTATTCTTAAAATTTTATTAAAATTTGTCAAAAGAATTCAATTATTTAAAAAATTTGTTAGTAAAATAAAATTCTTTATGAAAATTCAATTTTAAGAAACATTCAATTGTTTAATAAAATATTTATTTTCTTTTGATAATCTTTTTACCCATTAAGTTATTTAATTGACTACTCAACAGATAGCGCTTACTTAATGTTATATTTGTTTATAACTTTTGTAACTGAAACATTTTATTTAATTTAGTTTTACTGTCTAATGTTTTAATAATACGTGAAAGGTAAGTTAGGAAGCGTTCACAAATTATGTCACAGAATTTTTGGAGATTTTCAACCCCCCCTTTTCCTGTCACGCAATTTTTGCAATTTCACATGAGAAAATACCTTGTGTCACGTTTAGTAAGACCCCCCTACCCCCAAAGACATGACATCATATGTGAACGCTCCCTTATCTGAATCCATTTTCTATAAATTTTTCACATAGATAATATTTATTTATTAACTAAACTAAAAAAATATTATTTTCTTATAAATTCAAAAGGTTTATTATTAGTTTACTAATTATATTTAAATTATTTAATGTAAATTATAATATGTAATTGTTTTTTTAATTATAGTTTCAAATTTGAATTATTTTTCGCGCCCATGCTACAGTGCTGCAAACTGAAGTATAATCAGTAGAGATCTGAATTATCAATCTGTTTTATAAATATGTTTTTCCCTTTATTATGTATTTATTTGAAATTTTCCGCGCATTATAAAGTATTTATTAAGAAAATTCATAATTTAATGTTGAAATATCAAAAATTTATATAGTGTTGTATTATTGAAACATCAAGTTTAAAAAAATACTGAGCTAGCAGACAGCTTTTTATACAGTGTTTAAAGACTTGTCAAAACAAGAAATGGTAAGTGCTTTTCATTACAACTTTTTTGAGAAATATTATTACTATTATAATTGCTCATATAATGATTTGACTTATTTTGTGTGTATTTAGGAAGGTGAAGAGAACGAATTGGAAAAAAAGTTTGCTGGGAGACATCATAGCGAAGATATGTTCATTTTTTTGTCATTGTTTACACACATTAAAGTTTTAATATCAAAAAACATTTTATGTGTTCTATATTAAATAAATATACAAATAAACTATAAGTAAATAAATAAACTATTTATAAAAAATAAGTGCACTATTGAAAATAACTTAACTAAAAATTAAAACTACACTATTTACATCAACCTAACCTAATTTAACCTTTACTTGAGTGCAAATTTTTTTAAAAATATTATTACTATTATAATTGCTCATATAATGATTTGACTTATTTTGTGTGTATTTAGGAAGGTGAAGAGAACGAATTGGAAAAAAAAGTTTGATGGGAGACATCATAGCGAAGGTATATTCATTTTTTTATCATTGTTTATACACACGAGAACGATCGCGCGCTGCCGCGCGCGCGTTTTTTCTCTTGCATTTTTATTCTTTAAATTACAGTCTTTTGTTTGTTAAGGTATCAATTTGAGTGACAGTTTCTGATAATAGGAATTTTTAAATATTAATAAATTTAATAAAATAATAGCCTATGTTGTGCGTAAAACAATTTTTTATACCTTTACACTTTTAGTTCTGTCTTTATCTGTTTCTAAATGTATCATTTCTAAAGTTTATGGTTTTGATAAAAAAAACAACACTTTTCTTTGCTTAAAGAAAAGCGTATATTTCAAGAATGGCACATTTTATAAAAAGTTTTGTACGATGAAGTTATAGAAAACCTTTTTATAATCAAAGTAATCTATTTGTTAATTAAATTTTGTAACATTTAAAATCTTCCATAGTAAATTTATATTTTAAAAAATAGTGATGAAAGAAAAACGTTACTAAATAAACTTTTTTTAACTATTTTTCACTTAGCTAGCAAAAAAACATCTCTACTGTCAAAGAAAGCCATAAACAGAGGATATTAAATTAAAAATTTACTTTTGTTTCTTAAAATCGTTCCTACTTTTGCTATAAAAAAGAAATATAAGTGTGGTTTCTGTAAATATTATACAAAAAATGTAAGTACTCCGTCATTTCGAAGAAAATAATTTATTTCAATGTATGCTTTTCTATAAGATTCATGGGATGCAAAATTTCGTTAATAATCTTGAGAAATATTATCTTTAAACTTTTTTCAAAGTTCATTTGGATGAACTGGTTGGCAGTACATTAAAATACGTACAAATAAGTGTCTTAATTATCTGAAGTTTGAACTATTATTTGAAATTAGGAAATTAAAACGTCTTTGACCAATTGATAAGAAAGAAACGTGTAAAGAAATCTTACGTGTGAATCTTATTACAAAAAAATGACCTAATTTACCAATAAGAAGCGTCGAAGAAAGTCTTACGCGTAAAGACAGCCATACTGAGACACACTCCTTTTTGAAGAAAAAAAATATATAACGACTCAGACATTTTTATAGAAAAAATATTTACTTCTATTTCAATAATTCAGTGTAAACATAATTCTTGATTAGTAAATTAGGTCTTTGATTTCCTAAATATATAATTAATGATTCCCAAGATTTAACTCGTGAAAATGCAACATATACTTGCCCATGATTAAATACATTTTTACGAAGGTCTACACCAATCTTGTCAAAAGTTTGTCCTTGGCTTTTATTTATTGTTATTGCGAATGCTAATTTTATAGGAAATTGCCGTCGTTTGAAAGTAAAAGGATAAATATCCTCACAATACAGCGTAATACGATTTATAAATACAATATCTCCAACCTTATCACCTGTTAAAATACGACAACGTAGCAGATTGTTTGTTAGTTCTAATACCTGCATTCGCGTTCCATTACATAAACCTTCATTAATACTAAGATTTCGAAGTAGCATGACAATACAATTGGCTCTTAATCGTAATTCATAAGGCGGGAAATTTGATGGATTTAAAGTATTCAAATACTCTGGTAAAATAGCATCATTTATACTTCCATTATCACAATTTTCGGTACTATCAACACTTGTATAAATTCGCTCACTTTTATTATCAAACAGTTCGAGTACCTTGTTGTTAATTTCATCAACATCAACATTTCGAGCAGACAATATTGCTACTTTTGCTAAATCATCGTATTTATTATTGATAATTAATTCTCCAAATATTTTATGAATATCACCATTTTCTACACATTGCTCTGGTGCTAGTATATTATTATCATTATCATTTAAAGTACCATTTCCAACTGATAATAAATATTCTGGAAATTCTTTTTCACCAGGTAAAGTTCTCATATTTTCTGTTAATGATATCACCCTAAAATGACTCCATAATGTGCTAGATTTAATAGATAAATTAACTAATTTGCTTCTAGTAGCATTAACTTTAACAGGCAATAATTGTCTAAAATCACCACCCAAAAGCATAGTTTTTCCACCAAATGGCATATCAACATTCATAAAATCGCGTAATGTTCTATCAATTAATTCCATAGCATATCTTGGCGCCATTGGAGCTTCATCCCAAATAAAGACATCAACCTCTTTCAAAAATGTAGCTTCCTTAGACTGACTTTTAATATTTGATGTAGAATCATAGAACAATGGAACAGGCATCCCAAATGTTTTATGTACAGTTTTACCACGGGGAAGTAATATTGCGGCAATGCCTGTAAATGCCATAGTACAAACACATTTTCCTTTACTTCTTAACAAATGGTATAAAGTTGTATAAACAAAAGTTTTTCCGGATCCACCTGGTCCATCAATGTAATAACATGAAGAAGATGGTATTCGTTTATCTTGAATAACTACATTTAATACTTCATCAACAATATCCTTCTGTTTGGAATTCAGTTTCACATATTGCATTTCACCAATCTCTTTATGTTGTTGCAATGACATTTCGTTGTTCGCTTGATTTTCTGTTTCAATACTTATTTCATTTAACTGTATCATTTCAGGAAAATTGCTAATATTTGATCCTTCATGCAACGGAAAGTTAATTATATCATTATATGCTCTTTTATGAGCTTCATTAGATGGATAATTTTTCTGATAATCTTCAGACATAGCCTCTTTAAACTTTTCCCAAAGTTCGTTTGGATGAACTGGATGGCAATAAATTAAAATACGCACAAATAAACGTCTTAATTGTTGTGGCATCATCCATACTTCTCCTTCTGTCAAAGCACGTTCCCATTCTCCATCATCTTCAATAAGGCCTAATGCTAAACATGCACTACGAAAAATGTCATGTAAAATATTTTTGACAGTTCGCAGATCATCATAACTTGTAGCGCCTTTAACTACTATTAAAAGTAATCTAAGATGAAACAGTTCTGATTGACTGGGCGAAATTGAATACATCCGTCTAATGACATTAAATGACCCTTTACGCTTCACCCATTTTAATGCATTTTCACCACGTTCTTTCTTAAAAACATAATAACATGGAATTTCTGCATATATATATATTGTCTAGCTTGTGGATCACGCCTATTTAAATCGAAGTATTCTAATAACATAGTCCGTTTCTGTAAAGCTTCATTTATAGCATCATCATTTGCTTCTTCACTAATGGTTACAGTATGCCGATTAATTAAATGAACAGGTAATCGGAGAATAGAATGACTTTTACTCTGTAATGGTCTACCAAATATTCTATCACATGCTTCAACAGGACTAACATATCGAGTTTCAATAAAGTTTTTTATTTCATCATATTCTAAAGAACTTGTATTATTACTACTATCGGTAATTACTACAGCAGCAGCATCATGTCCCTTAAAAATATATTTATACAAATATTTTACGGATTTAATACTTGAAACTACTTCTACATTAATATGACAATTAAATAACTGAAGTAATGTAGGATTGTATGGAATAACGTATTGATTATCTGTAGTTCCTCCATTTAGGCGATCGTATTGTCCTGTATTAAGGCAGCGATACGTTAGGTATCCGTTTTCATCCATTATTGTCTCAGAACAGAATTGTTTTGGGAAACCTTTCAAACATTTACTATTATTATCTTTACACTAATTTCCACATGGGCCATGAATCATATTTTTCATAACGATGTCATGAAGTATAACATTTTCTGATTGACTTGGAATTTCTGCCGAAATATATTTGTCTACAATCTCGGGTGTTGTTATTTTATAATTTTGTTTCAAAGTCACTAATAAATGCATATGCGGCAATCCACGTTTTTGATATTCAATGACATACACATAAGCAATCACTTCGCCAAATAATTGTTCCTTTACAATAGTATTAATAAGTTTATCTTTTTTTATGGTAAAAACACGCGATACAATATCTGGTCTGTCAAAGGCAGTTTGGTTAGGTAATAAATTTTCCTTAATTTCACGCCAGTTTGGATTACACGTCATCGTAATAAAAAGATCAGGTTTACCAAATTTTCTCACAATAGCCATTGCATCTTGGTAATGCTGTAACATATTTCTCGGAGAACCTGTGAAAAATGATAGAAGTATTACAATTTTCCCAACTTCATTGTTCAAATCATTAGCTCTTCTTTGTAAATGATCAATTAGACCTTCGTAAGTATCTGCACGAAGTTTCTTTTGATTATTTCGAGAGAAATTTCTCCTATCTTTTTCAATTTTCACATAACTGTCGACAATCCATTGCTGAAATAATCTACCACCCTTTAAAAATACATTGTTGTCCCTAGAAGCCATTCTATGCGTGATGTATGCAGCTCTTGATACACGTTTATTTGTATTAGCGCAGGTCAGATTTTTGTCCCAACCTCTTGTTCCATGTGGATAAAATAAAGGATATATCCATGGCTCAACATTGGGATTCATAGAACTTATATATTGTAAACTTTTTGTATTCTTATTATATACGGTAACATATGATTCTGGAATATCACCATCAGCAGTTGTAGTAAAAATTGCTGCAACTTCATTGACACTTTGTAAATTATAACGTCTACTATCCATCCCAGGCTTTAATGAAAATAATAATTGCATCTCAGGCTAAATTTCTGCATTATTTTCAGTCATTGTTTTTTTAATTTTTTCATGCATCATACGGTAGGACTGTGCAAATAGGTTACAATCCCGAAGGGCTGTTTCAATTCCATCAACAATATCTCGGTTTAATTGAACATTATTCTTACAACAAATTTCGGAAGCTTCGTTTTGATCAACAATAAATAACTGTCCAAATGAAGGAGTATCGTTCCTTTCTGCATACAAAGATGTATTCATTTGATAATAAACCTGACCATGTATTTTGAAACAATATGGTCCTGGTCGTCTATTGTTAAAATTAACTAAGTTAGCGTTGAAAGAAGCAAAACCAAATGAATTATTGTAAGGTCGTATATTATGAAGAAAATGCCCAGATAATTCGTAGGTGCCATCAAATAAATTTTGTAATATGAGTGGAGGAGCAGGTAGATCTTCAAGAATGACTTCGCCATGTTTACAACAATCATGAAATGAATTTTTTTTATTAGATACTCTTTCTGCTTGGAAATGTTTAGCATTACAATGCTCACATGAAATGTTCATCGCACCAGCAAAATGTTCTTCTATATGCGAGACTGAAATACTGTCAGAGAAATTTTGATTCTGTGCAAAATCCCGTTTTTTTTGGCTATGAGTTTTTTGATAAGCTACATTTTTTTGACGACCGGAAATATTAGTATTTGCTAAATTTGCTGTAACAGTTACATTATCTTTTGCCAAAGATGTAGTAACAGTTGTAGAGGATTTTTCTGAATTTATATTTGATTTTGACACTGTAATAATACTGTCCTTTGTTTGAAGTGATTGAGGGTTAAGAATTCTATTATTCTCTTGTTTTTTTGTCGAAACTTTCTTTGATAAGCAGCTTTCGTTTAAAGTTTCATGACTTGATGTTGTTCTTCTTCCTTTAAAGAACGTATTATTGATCTTTTTTTTACTTGATTTTCATTTTTTAAATTAGTATATTTTGTAACATTTCTTGAATCATTACAATCATCATTAGTTTTTGATTTTATAAATACTTCACTGTTAACTTTATGTTCACAAAGTTTTACATAAGAATGATCACGTGTAATGTTCATTTCATTACAATAACCCATCTCTATATGTGACTTTGAAATAATATCAGACTGATTTTGTTTTTGAACAGAAGTATGTTTATTTTGTCGAGAGGTGCGCTTGTAAGCAACATTTCTGTCACGAATTGACGTTTTAACTTTAGAAGTAGAAATATTTTCTTCTGCTGATGATAAAGCTGTAGATGTGCTTTGGGGCCTCGTATTTAAAGTTTGCTCTGCACTAATGAATTCATTAGAATCCAATGATTCAGAGCGAACAATTTTATTATTTTCTCGCTTTTTTTGTCGATATTTTTTTTGATAAGCAGCTTTTTTTTTGACGTTTTATGATTTTATATTTTTCCTCTTCTTCAGGAAAATGAACCATAGCTCTTTTTTCTCCTTGCTTCTCAGTTATTATTAATCTTGTATCTTTCATTCTATTGCTTGAATCAATAGAAATATTATTAACATCATTTGCTGGAATTAAAGGCAAATCTTCTAAACAACTATCAACAAAATTTTTTTTACAAACATTGCTGGTTGAATTCAACGATGATAAATTATTGTCAACAATTTTATTTTCTTCATTTTGGAAACTTTTTTCTCTAGCTCGATTCCTAAGAAGACACTCCCAATTACATTCAACAGTTATATGTAGTTCTAATATTAGTCGACCTTACTGACGGAAATTTACTTAAACGATTGTTTTTGAACATTAACATTAAATGATTTCTCATGTTATAATAATAGTAATTGACAGAGTGGGGCATAATATTAAAAAATATCGATGTTGCGAATGCTATTGCATATATTCCACAAGCAAGACTATTGTTTGGTTGTTGATCAACAGTTGTGAAAACTACTGGAGGTTTAAAAGGATATAATCTACTTAAATATTTCCTTTGATCTTCATTTAAACATCCTTCATTAAGACTATCATAAATATAAAGTCTCATTCCATCATAATAAGTGCAAATCCAATGACCTTTCTTGATAGGTCCACTAAAAAGTATTTGAATATGCTTTTTACCTTTTTTAATCGGACTAATAAATTCAAGCGTATAAAAATACAAAGTGCTTTGCATGCTAAAAGCATAATTTGATTCCCTTCTCAATAATTTTTCGAATTCATCAATATGAGTATCATTTAACATTCCTCCTTCAGTAAGTATAATATTAAAATCTGTAACACTTAAATTAACAGTTCCTTCTTTGTTCGACATGATTTCTTTCAATTTATTGAAAAGATATCGCTTCTAAAAAATAGTTTTTCATAAAATTAATTAATTCAGAACACATGTAAATAATGTTACTATTGTCACATTTAACAGTAACTGGAATTTTTATCTTATCCTTTCTTATTAAAGATTATTAAGAATGTAAAGAATGTATCTTCATCTATTAATATTATTAATATTATTAAATATAAGTATATTTTTGGTAAATTTTTCTGTTTTGTATCTGTTTTGTATCTGTTAATCTAGTATCTGTTAATAGAGTATCTGTTAATCTAGTACCTCTTGACTAAATCTCTGTTTATCAAGTATCTGGTATCTCGTAATCACATGTTATTTTTAGTACATCTTTAACATTCATAAAGTTTTTTCCAAAATAATAACTAACTACCAAAATGTTAAAAAACAAAATGTTAAAAAATCAATAATTAAGATTTAAAAAAACAAATATTAATCAATATTAAATAATAATAATATAAAAGATAACATGATGTCTTCATTCAGAAAATAGTTTCTGCAAACATTTATCTTTTCTCATCAGAGAAATAGTTTATTCATAAATTTTAATCTTTTAAAAAAATTTTATAGTTACTTTTCCAGTAATTTATTTACATTTTGAACAATGGAGAACTGTCCATGTTTTAGATGTTTTATATTTCGTTTTAATTGGATGAATGTAAGTATTCTTTTAGTAAGTAATAATCGTTAATAAAGTATTTTTAAACAAATATTTTTTTAGACTGGTTGGGAGTATCCAATTACACCTCCGTCGTCTCCGGAACCTGACGAGCAGGTCAACTTTGACGGACCTGTGCCCCAGGAAATACCGGAGGATGAACTTGAGCTGGAAAATCAGGATGAGGGTTTCCAGGTAATTGGTCCTAACGCGCAAAATCACCTAGAGGAAGCACAAGTGGATGATCCTCCCCCACAGGTTGTAAGTATGAAAACATTTTTAAACATTCAAATTCATTATTATAAGTAGTTTTATTATTTAATATAACATTTTATTTTTTAAGTATCCTTGGCGTCAACCACAGTCACCTCCGCTGGTGGAGGAAGGAAATTTGTCACCATCTTATGAGCAGGAAATTGTTGAGTTGGAGCCACATTCATCACAGGTTGTAAGTATATGAACACCTATTGTGAATCATGTATAATTAAAGTATTTTACTATTTTATCATTATATCTACCTACAATTGTAGAAATCTCCAATGGAGGAAAGACATCAAACACCTATTTTGGGTAATTGTAAATCATTTAGTGATAAGGCTTCTGATATCCATCATCGTCATCGACACCGCCATAATCATCACAAACATCATCATCATCGACATCGCCATAATCATCACAAACAGCATAAAAAACATCACAAAAAATATCACCATAATCATCATCACCGCCATCATCACATTCATCATCACCGTCATCGTCACGGTGACGTATCAACAATGAAGTTACAAAAGTGACAACTGAAGTTACCACAAAGATTTAACGTTTATTTTTCTGTTTTTGAAATTTTTTTTAGTTTATACTTATAGTTGCCAAAGTCATCGAGATAACGTATGAACAATGACATTATAAAAGTGACAACTGAAGTTATCACAAAGATTTAACGTTTATTTTTGTTTTTTAAGATTTTTTAGTTTATACTTATAGTTATTAAAGTTGTGAAGATAACATATCAACAATGCTATTATGAAATCACAAAATTTAATGTTTATTTCTCTATGTTTTTTCGAATTTTTATTACTTTATACTTATAGTTATCAAAGTTGTGGAGATATCAACAATGCTATAATGAAAATGACAACTGAAGTTACCACAAAGATTTAACGTTTATTTTTCTGTTTTTGAATTTTTTTTTAGTTTATACTTATAGTTGTCAAAGTCATCGAGGTAACGTATCAACAATGACATTTCAAAAGCGCCAACTGAAGTTATCATAAAGATTTAACGTTTATTCTTCTGTGTTTTTTTAAAGTTTTTTTCTTTAAAAAATGTTTTGTGTTTACATACAATTTTTAAAATTTTATCTTTTTAATTCTTTTATAATTATAGTTTTCTTAAAATAATAATAATAATTTTGTAAAAACCAAATATAAATAAATTTAATGTTTAGTATATAATGTTTTAATTTAATAATAAGTTAAATACTTTTTTAGAAATTTAGATTTAACATAAGTAATACATATGAAACTAATTTAAATTAAACTTAAATGTAGTTTATACCTAGACTTAACCTAACCTTAAATCTAAAGTATGACTAAGGTTGTAGTCAATAATAAGAACATTATAATATTGGTTTGATACATTTAATTTAATAATAATATTATCAATCAATAAACATTATTTACACGTGTTTTATTTTAAATTCAATATGGTTGTACGGACCACCAATATACTTCAGCCGTAATTGTCCAGAATTTATAGCTTCTTGCATTTGATCGAAGCATATCGAGTCATCAGTGAACATTGGTACAAATCTTGAAGATAGGAATGTATTGAACTTTTTATCCACCTCAACGACAACCTTGACTCCATACCTGGTGTTGACAACCTGGATCTTCGTTATAGGATACTTATGTTAAGGAGTCAGCTCGGAAAGAGGCTTCGTAGCTAGGTAATCCTCCATGCGACCAATGGCGTTGATTCTGATTAGATCCATCTTTTCTTAGAGATAATACTTTGTGAAGTCACAGAACAGAATGACTAAATCGGTTGAAATCCCTTAATTTATACCCAAATATGACGCAATACCCCCACTACTTTTTCTACGCATGCGCAATACCCCCACCACTATTCTTACGCATGCGCAATAGCTTTTTATGCATGTGGAATACCCCCACTCCTATCTGTTTAGCCACGCCCATTTTGTGACGTCATAAGACAAGTCTAGACTAGTTTTAACATGTTTAATAGTTTCACGCATATGTAATAAAGATAAAAGGATGTGGAAGGGTTAATTAATGTAAACATTTGTAATACATTTAATACATTTATTTATTAAATAGGAAATTTTCACAATCATTATAAAAATCTTTCAATGTACAATCATTGTCAACTTCATCATTATTTTCTATATTATTACGTAGTTAGTGTTGCATTCGAGAATCTTTCCTTTCATAAAAGAAAAAAGACAGAACTTAGGTATTCATTTGTTTTCCATGTATTTTTAACGAGATTATCGTTTTTTTCGATTTTTTACGAGCGATTTCTCGCTCGAATGCAAATGTAGTACATTTGACGGTTGTATCAACCAATTTTGTAGATTACATACATTTTTACCAGCACAATTGCTAAAGCTATGTATGTGATTTGTGCATGTAGATGAACTATCTGCACTTAAACTTTTTAGCGACGGACATTAAAAATCATCTAAATTAAACACATTTAATGTATATTTTTCCAACCATTTTTGTATTTCTAATCCTTTTACATAAACGGTAGGTGTACCTATTTGTACTTCTTTTATTATAGGTTGTAATTCTTCATAAGGAATGTCACCAGCAGCCCAATCGATACCATGATAATTATTTGTAAGCCATCGATTCTCACATTTGTATCTTGCAGGCAATCGACTCCAGGCATATGGCGGCTCGAAGAGGTAGACCAAAGGATGAGCATCTTGTTGAAGTGGTAGAATCGCCAACTTTTTGATGACAAACTCGTTGTATGGTCTCTTGAAGCATTGAATATCTACGACGTACGCCATGGTATCTGAAATAGAATAATGGCTCAAGCCTTAGAGAGACGCTCTCTTTATAGCCTTTCCCCCACCACTCCAAATACCCCCACTACCGATGTCGTCTATGATTGGTCATTATTTCTACCAATCACGTTACTTTTTTAACAACGCCGCTGATTGGTGTATACTGTATAATGCGGTCGTGAATTATAAGGCAATATGCAGCTGTATTAGCTGGAAAATTTTCATTTGCTTCAAATTCCAATCGTACATCTACAGATGCTTGTTTTATAAATTCGTTTTGTTTTGAGCAATCAATAACAGCCAATGGTGCATAATCTTCAAAGTTATTTCTAGTTAATAAAGGTTCAGATTCTTTTCCATAGTAGGTTCGTTGAAAATTACAATACATTTCATATAGTATGAAAAATTTGTTTTGAGTAAAATTTAAATTTCCATAAGGATAGTAGTGTGAGTTTAAGAAAAGTTTAACATTGAGAAGATTACAGGCATCAAATAAATTTGCATACCTTCCTTGATCTTCTTTTCGATTTGTTTGAAAACCAAGAATAACATATAGTATGTAAATATTAGTGGAATATTTACATCAAAATATCCAGCATTATTTGTTACTCTACTATCATCATCATAAGGTAGATAACCAGCATTTTCAGAGTAAATCATTTGATTAGGTGTTTGAGAAATTAGATTTTTCATTGTGGTTGTAATACCAACATTTTTAGAGCGATCAATTTCAACACCATTTAATTCATAACGAATCTCATTAAACAGGTAGGAAATACCATTGCTAATTAACTTTGTATTAGTTACAAGCGTATTGTTTGGCTTAACAATTCTGCCAGTGACGTGTAGAGTACTTTTAGAGGGAAGAATGTACAAGTCTTGATGTTGAACTGCAATTCGAATCTCGTCACTGTTATTAAATGCTGATGACACGTATGGTTGATGTGCATGAATCTCATAGTGTGCCACAGAATTATCAAATTTAACTGGACTTAGAATGTTTAAAATTTCTTCCATTTTTGTTACAACAACAAATAAAAAGTATGTGAAAAATCAATTTTTTTCCTTGTTTTCTTGATAAACTCTTACGCCGAGCTGCTTCAGTAATAGTATGTTCTGAGATGTTAGTCTCTTGCGAACTGATTGATGAATGAATGACTTCTGACATGGCAACTCTTTAATATAGCTTCCACCAGTTTTTCTATGAAATACAATTCTCATTACGTTGATTTAACGTGTAATCGAATTGTTATAGTTTCACCTCTAAAATTTATTAAATCTCGGTCTTGATCAACGATTCTTACTTGAATATTATGTATTGTCTTCACGGCGATTGGAAGGTAAATGACGTGAGATGGAACTTCCACAATCTTATATCCAGCTCGTACAATTGGAAAAAATTCGTGAATTGTGTGTACCTTTTTATTATTTATGTATGCACCAGTAGTAATGTTACATTTAATTCTGATAGCATTTACCTCAAGAATAGCTACTGGTACATCTGACGTATGAGCCTTATTAGTTGTCAATATTCGTGGAGTAAATCCTAATAATTTACCAATTGAATCGTTTTGTTCAAAACTCACTTCAAGGCTGCTTGTTATTTCACTACGTAAAGTATTATTGTTAGGTTTGATTCTTAGAATTTCAGATCCATTTTCAATAGAGTTTTGAATATATTTTTCAATATCTTCAATTTCATAGCTTCCAGGGGGTATAGTAATCACTTTATCACCAATATAAAATTTATTTTTACCTTGATCAATATTAGGAATTAAATTGATGGTTAGTAATTCAACTAAGCCAAGTACATAATTTTTGTTAGATAATAATACTATCGGAGGAAAATATTCTGCCTCCAGGACAGATGAATTGCCTGAGATAGTCAGTGTAAAAGATTCTTCCATGTTGATGACTTTTTATAAACTGATTAGGTGGAATGACTTACAATCACTTATATAGAATATATTTTTGAGTTATTTCAAGCTGTCCACATAAGAATGTTAGACATAAATGACCACAATTAAAGCTATTATAATCTTGATAATTTTGATTATTATACTGTATTAAAGTATTATAACCTAAGTAATTGACAAGTTCATAGGGTGGTTAAAGATTACCAAAACTATCAAAGTATTCTACTTTATTATTAACTTTTTCATATGCAACCCAATGAGTTCCAGAACAATCGTTATCATCTAAATTAATAATAACTGATTCATTTTTTCGAGGACCTCTTATAGGTAATTCATTTCGCATGAAAACACCTCGAAAATGAGGAATTTTCACTTCTTTAGAATATTTAAGTAAGTCTAAATCTGTAAGTGCTCGTTGAGGCAGCTTTAAACTTTTTTTTGTACATCGTCTCTTAATACCTTGTCCTTTAACATATGGTTTCAAATGAAGTCCCAAACCTTGTCGGTATGGTTTTAAATGTAGACCTTTACCAAGTGCCACTGCTTCCAACTCTCTATTGTGACGCTGAGCTTCCTTCAACTGCTCTTTTGCTGCACTTGCATCATTAACAGCTTTTGCTACACCAGCAGCTCCCCCAGTAAGCGCTCCAAGTGCACTTGGACCAGCAAAAATGGGAATCAATGGTAACAGACCACCAACTTTTGATGGGACAGGTAGAATACAAGGTGTTAAAACCTTTTCTCTACCACCTGCTTTCCTTACAGCTTTTCGAGCTGTTTCAATAGCTGACTTTATTGTTAAACGAGCATCATTACCAGGAATTATTGACTTTCTTGCAGCATCAACAATTTTTCTAAGATTTACTCGTTTTTTTGATTTTATCTTCTTTACTCGTTTCTTTGACTTTGTCTTCTTCTTCTTTACTCCCATTCCAAATTTTGATTTTGCTTTCATAGCGTTTGTTATTGCGTTAGCTGCAGCTCTTTCACTATATCGTGCGTCTGGAGCAAATACACGTTGCCACGCTTTGTCAGCTAATACTCTATCAGCAGCGTTTCTTTCTTCAACGTTTTCTCGATTTTTCGAGTGAGCAATATCGTGCTCTTTACAAGCGGTGTCTAATGGATTAACACCTGGATCACCTCGGTCTAGACGTTTTGCTAACTTTGTGCCCGGTCCACAATATTGATAACCTGGCAAATGTAATTCAAATGGTAACTTGTTTATAAGTTTATTAACTAAGCCTTTTCCTCGAGAGTGATGATAATTAATCATACCTTACTCTGTGAAAGTTGAAATTAGAATGACTTGTGAGCTATATAAGCGCTGTATTCATACCTTTAGCGGCAGTCTAAATCAGGATGCGGTTCAAGGAACAACGTCACAAGCTGCCAGTCGTCAATCTAGACTCGATTGTTGAACAACAAGAGAAGAAAGTAAAGCGTCATGGTAGCTTGTTTTCCGGTAGTATTCGAGCTATTTTTTGTGGACCATAAAATTTTGGAAAGACAAATGTACTACTTTATTAATTTTACATCCTAATGGTCTTAGATTTGATAATATTTACTTATACTCAAAGTCTTTACATCAACCCAAGTATAAATTCTTGGAACAAGTTGTAAGTAATGTTGAAGGAGTAGAGTATTTACCATTTAGTGAGCATGAAGAAGTCATTACTCCTAAAGATGCAAAATGGAATTCAATATTTATATTTGATGTTATTGCTTGCGAGAAGCAAGATAATGTTAGGGCATTTTTTTGCATGGGTAGACATGTTGATGTTGATTCTTTTTATCTTTGTCAAACATATGCCCGCATTCCTAAACATTTAGTACGTGATAATGTTAATTTACTAGTTCTTTTTCGTCAAGATGAAAAAAATTTAAGGCATGTTTATGATGACCACGTTAATACTGACATGACATTTAATCAGTTTCGAGAACTATGTGCCACATGTTGGAATTTAAACAAGTATGGCTTTGTAGTAATTGATAAGGATTCTGATTTAAATGATGGAAGATATAGGAAAGGATTTGATAGCTTTGTAACACTAAATATAAGATCATCCCTAAAATATTGTTAGTTCAATATGAAACCTTGTAATAATAACATGTTTCATAAAGAAAAAGAATATCTTTATCAAAATGCTAAAGCTAGTGAGGCAATTAGGCGAAAACATCGTATGTTAAAATTAGGAAAAGAAGAAGCTGAAAATGTGCTGACTGAAACATTTAAACCGATAGTTCAACCCTTACAGAAAATTATCAACTTGACAGACAGTGAACATGAAAACTTTAAGACTGAAAATGTTAAGATTGAAAAGAAAGAGCAGAAGGAGGATGATAGCATAAACTATGAAAGTGAAACTGAAAAATCTCCAGATGATGATAAAATAAGTAATAAATTTCTATACTTATTAAATCATAATAGAAAGCAAAGTTTGGATTCAACATACGGCATACGTAAGCTAAGTGATGGATCACTTATGATTGGTGATTCACCAATAACTCTTGAAAATCAGTTTGTTAAAATTGGTGATAAACGATATCTTCAAACACCTGGATTACTTAAACTTTTATTCAAAAGTAAACCTACCAGATCGTTTATAAGTGAAGCTGATGAAAAAAACTATAAAGAGATTCTGATTGCTACTAATGCACACAAAAAGAAGTATAGTTCCTCTGAATCTATACGCACGGATGAGAGTTACAAGTATTTGAATTTTATATCTCAATTCTTCCCTCGAACACCTACCAAACAGCCATCTGTAAGCAGTAGTTTATTACTTAAATATATGATTACAAACAGAAATTTTCAACGAGAATATATCTATTGGGATGATCCGAATGATTTGGCTTCTCAAGATGCTGGAAATCCTAGTCACAATAATGAAATCATGTCTATCATTGAGGAACTACGTGAAGCTAAAATTATATATTAAGATGTGTTTTAGCAAATATCATTCATTTCAACAATGAGCATTGACGTGTTCGGACATCCTCTCAATCAAAGAGGAACAGCAAAACGAGGGCCTCCTGGAGTTGGTTTTAAACTTAATTCTCAAGGTAACTTTGACGTTGAAGGAAGAAAACTCTAATCTTGCTAACGCTGAAGAAGAAAACGACGCTGTCAATTTAAAACTTGTACGACATATGATAAAACACGAAGTGCGTTTATTGTATGAAGCTAGTGCCTCACTTAGATCAGAGGTGGACAATAACAACTTATTTCTAAAAGTTCTTGAAAACTCTATTACAGAAAAAATAAAAAATTTTGAAAAAGATATATGTAAATCAAGAATTATCTTATCGAACAGCTGAAATTATTAGTAAATTGGATACTCGCTTAAGTGCTGTCGAGAATGGACAACAAAAAATTAACAGTAGTGAATAAACTTCATACTCAGGCTAGAAAAAATTATCCTCGACGGCGAGTTGAAATGCGTGATGTTGATGAGACATGGCAAGCAGATTTAGTAGAAATGATACCTTATTCAAAAATAAATAAAGGTTTCAAGTATTTACTAACAGTTATAGACATATTTTCGAAATATGCTTGGGCTGTTCCAGTAAAGAGTAAAAGTGGAAAAGATGTTTTTCATGCAATGCAATCTATATTTGCTAAAAAACGCATACCAAAAAACTTGCATAGTGACAAAGGAATAGAATTTTATAACTCACAATTTGAAGAATTAATGAGAAAGCATAAAATAAATTTTTACTCAACATATAGTAATATGAAGGCTTTCATTGTTGAACGGTTTAATCGAACACTAAAAAGAAAAATGTAGATGCAATTTAGTTTGCGGGGAAATTACAATTGGTATGACATATTACCTACTCTTATTTCCAACTACAATAATACAAAACATAGAACAATTGGAATGAAGCCTAAAGATGTTACTTCAGAAGACGTTGAAATTTTAAAAGAACGATTCCTGAAGCTGAGAAAAATTCCTTTCAGACGACCAAAGTTTGAAATTGGTGACAAAGTTCGAGTAAGCAAATATAAAAATGTTTTCGAGAAAGGATATACACCCAATTGGACAACATAAATATTCACCGTGGATCAAGTTGTATCAACTCAACCAGTGACTTACTTCTTAAAGTAAAATATTCAGATATTTATCTTGTGGAAAAAATTCTCAAGACACGTGGAAACAGAGTTCTTGTCAAATGGCTTGGCTTTGATAATTCTCACAATACGTGGGAAGATAAAGCAAATGTATAATCTATTATTCGCAAATCGTCCCCAGTAACTTAACGCAAATGTCAATCAACCAGCAAATCAATCAAAGATTGATGTTAGCGTAAAACCTCTCTATAAATCAAAACTGCTTCTAACAACAGACCTTCACACTGCCAGTGCCAAATTTAATTAACATTAATTCAATAATTAATCAACAATGAATCAATAATGAATCAACTATGAATCAACAATGAATCAATAATGAATCAACAATGAATCAATAATGAATCAATAATGAATCAACAATGAATCAATAATGAATCAATAATGAATCAACAATGAATCAATAATGAATCAACAATGAATCAATAATGAATCAACTATGAATCAATAATGACTCAACTATGAATCAATAATGAATCAATAATGAATCAACTATGAATCAATAATGAATCAATTATGAATTAATAATGAATCAATATTAAATCAGTTGGCACTGGAATTGTGAAGGTCTGTTGTTGGAAGTAGTTTTGATTTATAAAGAGATTCTACGCTAACATTAATCTTTGATTGCTTTGCTGGTTGATTGGCATTTGCGTTAAGTTACTGGGGGCGATTTGCACATTTAAATTATATAAGTTTTAATCATATGTTATTATGTATATATGAAAGGATTTTTTAAATAATAAACACATCGAAATTGTATATAATTGTATTATTTATTAACAAACCTTCTATTTTTTACAATCACATTTTATAAATCATTCGTCGATTGTGGGAATCCTATAATGACCCCATGGAAGAGTGTCAGTTCTCTGGGGTAACAAGTACCGTTTATCATCATGCGGACTTAAGGCTACTTTAACTTGTTTGACTGTCTCTAAATTATGTAACCGTGACCTTATATTGTACTGCGTTCTGGTCTGAATTTCAAAATTGTTAAGGCATTGTACATAGTCATCAAATTTTATTGTCTTTTTGACGACTCCTGCTTTAATACCTTTTGCTTTCTTAACGAAATCCTCACCTTCAACGCGTATGCTATACATTTTACTCCGCAAGCCAACAAATTCGGTAACAATTGTACCATTGCATTCGTCCTTCATACGGCCGAGCACTTTTTTGTTGACTTGCGGCATGTCATACGCGTTGTCTGCGGAAAAATCAGATGTGTCAAACTTGTCAATGTCGTCTTTCATGTCTTTGTATATGTCTTGACATTTCACTTTGTACACTAGACTGTCTGTGTCCGTGTACAACAGTTTACATGCTCTACCATATTTCAGGAGCATGTAACTGTAGTGAAAGTCATAGACTAGCGTTTTCGAGATATCCAACACACTTAAACCCACATAAATCGGTTTATTGAGTAGGATCTCAGTCTTGCGCAGTTCGATGGCCACAAGGTCCTCATCGAAGATCGCTCGACTGTGAAAATTGGGTCGAGAGATGAGGGCTTCGGCACCATACCGACCGTACCAGTGTGTAACCAACTTAATGTCAACATGCTTGCGAACATTTTCCATGGTCTTGCCATACACTGCATTATTCATTAATTTGAATAAATTCTTTTCGAATTCATTTTTTGCAGTGGTTCGCATGGTAGTGTTATAATCTATGTAGGGTTTTAAACATTCGGATTGGTTTGAATTTAGGCACTCGGTGGATTTTTACGAGTTTCATACCGTTTCCGAGAGCCTGTTTTAATGCACGATAGTGTATAACATACTTCTCTTTAGACAGGGGAGTTGTAAGTAATTTCTCCTGCCTGGACATGGGGGGTTTTGCATTAGTTGTGCAAAAAGGCATGTCCTTATGAGAATCGTGCAGGCTCTCGGGATACTCGAGATCGACTTCTAAAATGTACCCGACTGAAGAGTCGTCGGGTACGTTAAAGTCAAACGCCTCGTCAGGGTTGGCAATCCACTTAAAACCACCAATTGGAAGTGCTTGTGTCATTGCCCAACCGTACAAATTATTGGCATCGAAATACATAATGTACTTTGGGTCTTGAGATGGATCAAACTGATCCATATAGGGATTGTTCGCTTTAGCATACCGGTTACAACACTGGCTAATGCCACCTCTGATACCCGACTCAATAAACATCATCATGTCTATGTCGGTTATAAGTTGCAATGCTATGCTTGTATATTTGAGCATAGCATCCCAAGTTAAACCGGGGGTAGTGTAATAGTGTGCTGGATTTAACCCGTACGCTTTTACACACTGTTCGCGAAAGTTTTCAAAGACATCGGCAAGTAATAATACATCAGTTTTCATATAAAGTTGAACGTAATCGTAAAGAGTTTGACAATTAAATTCAGGCCAGACTTTTTGCGCATGCTCATATTCATCATCCGTTACACCAGCGTCGTAAAGAGTACTATAAAATCTCTCTTTTGTTGGCAACTCTGTTTCATCGAGTTTACTTCGCGAATCAAAGTACTCGTAGGGGAAGATACCCTTTCGCGTTAACAATTTTATTTGTTCGCAATCCGTCACCGTACTGGCAAATACGGATTCAATAATTTTATATTCGTCAAGGTATGACGCTAGTTTCTCAAGAGATGCTGCCATGAATCGAAACGAGTCAATGAAGCGGAATTTAACCTCACTCCTCTTGATGTTTTTTGTAAAGGAGATATACGTCTCCTTGTTCAAGGGGAGAAGGTCAATTCGACCTTCAAAGCTTGTTGATACAGCATAAATTATAAAGTGTGCGTCATACCCGCTTAAATTGTGAAATACAATGGGTATGAGTTGGCACTCTTGATAATTTAAGTTGCACGATTCATGCGCAGCACCTCGGTATTTGCCAGTAAGATGACAGTGATCGCGAACTTTTTTAACACCCGCTAGTATATTCTTCTGACAAATATGGCACACGGTTGCATTCTTAAAATCAGCAATTTGCTGAGGAGTTAAGGCATCCATAGGTATAGGGTTTTTAAATACGTTATCAATTCTTTCCGCGAATTGCCTTAACTCGTCAGCAAACCACTTGGCAGGGTCTAACTCCTGCCTTAGACACGGTACATACATAGACATTGAGTCATCGAAGCTACATTTTACATAATAACCGATACTCAACAATTTATGACGCTGGAATATCTCGGTTTTACTTAAATTATCTGTATCTTCTTCAGCGGGAAGAAGTAAACTTTCACAGTCGGCATAAATGACAAAAGAAACTTTCTCCTTATTTACATAATTTTTAAAGGTAACTATATAATTTTCTGTTCTCGGTAGCTTAATGCGACAAACATTTTTTTGTTTACAATTTTCATCGTGCGCATTTAATCTTTCCGCAGATGAGAAGTAGTGTAAAAATCGGTCGCAGATATACTTTTTACATTTCTTTTTTGACAATTGATTTGACACTTGCCGCGATAAATCTTTAATCCAAATATAGTGGAAATTCATAAAGTCAATATCGTCGTCACAATTTACATTGTCATCGCATACACTTTTATCATCATACGAATCTACTACATGCAGTAGATTTACATGTTTCTCTCTCTTCTCTGCGGTCAGATGAAGAGGGTGGACGGAGAAATTACCATGCCATTTCGTAAGGCCGTAGACATTTACAGATATATTGTTTAACAATTCAAATTTCACAATACTTTTTAATGTTACAGGGAATTCTATACCCTTAAAATTCAATTCATTTTCGAATTTTTTATAAGTAGAAACATACTTAGTTACATTAGAATTTACGTGCGAGTATAAAGCTGACAGCACGGCCCACTTAAAAATTCTTTGTCATCGTTTTGTACATTGATACACGCTTTCTTATTCTTAATTTGTGTAGGTAGATTGATATACGAACTCGCACGCATTGGATTATACTTATTTACATTAATTTCTAATTTCACTATCGACACTAGGTTCCAGCTTGACCCCTTCTCATGGAACTCCTCGACCTTCCTCATGATTGGCTGCTTCATGTTTGATTCAAACCAGTCCTCCAATACGGTAGTCGGGAAGATGCTACTGGATTTGGCTGTGAATGGTATTGATTGAACCACTTCTTCTTCGTTCTGCACTCTTTTGAAGTTGGCTGTTAATACACCGTATACAACTATGGGGTAATTTTGTTTTAAAGCATCTTGAATGTGTTTTTTAAATAAAATGGCCGCATCATCCAAAAACGCACTTATGTCTAGGTGTACAATATTTAAAACAACATTCGTATACAGTCGACATTCAAATGCACTCTCACATTCAGCCCATCGCACGCGGTTATTAATGTTAGGGTCTTGTAGACCACCGCCCTCTATCGCTTGAGACTCGAACAATACTCGAAATCCCATTATGGATTGCAGAATGATCTGGCAACGACTTTTCTCATGCGTAAAGTACATGGATTTAAAAAGACCTGTCAGAACTTGTTCGTTGCGAGAACATTCTACAACCCACCGCGAAACAAAATCAATTTTATTGGCGCCATTGCTCAAACTCAATAGCAATTCGAGAGCATCCTTGATGAGTACAATCGTGAGCTCACATTTATCAAGGATGGTGCCATAATTAGGACGCTTCGCTGGTTCTACGTTACCGGTAAACTTTCGTTTGCCAGGCATTCTCAAAAACAAAAAAATCAATATCACAAAAAAGTATTAATAACAAAAATAATGAATAAGACAAAACAATAATACTAAAAATATAAAAACGCACTTACAAAACTAATACACTTAAAAGCTAAATTACAATCTAAGAGAACACAAGAAAAGAACAATAAAACGCTTACAAACTAAATCCTAATCTAAGTGAACGTAGAAAAAGAACAATACAATAAAAACGCTTACAAAATAAATTCTAATCTAAGAGAACTCAAAAAATAATGACAAGTAAAAGTTGGAATACTGTAATCAGTGTTAGCTTAGCTATGTCTACTCTGCGTGAGCTCACAGATTCCAATGATAAATTTGCTCTTGAAACTCTCATTTATAGTCTGAAATCCCCACTCTAATACCCAAAAATCCCCACCACTACCTTTGCGCATGCGCAGACCTTTTACCCCCCCCCCTCATAATTTTCACGCAAGCGTAGTAGACTATTTACCCCACTCTTAGTTTTCACGCATGCACAGCAGACAATTTATCCCCACTCTTAATTTTCACGCAAGCGTAGTAGACTATTTACCCCACTCATAATTTTCACGCATGCGCAGTAGACTATTTACCCCACTCTTAGTTTTCACGCATGCACAGCAGACAATTTATCCACACTCATACTTTTCACGCATGCGCAGCAGACTATTTACCCTACTCATAATTTTCACGCATGCGCAGTAGACTATTTACCCCACTCTTAGTTTTCACTCATGCGCAATAAAATATACTCCAGCTCAATAGAAGTTAACGGAGACACGTCCATACAAGTTTTATACATGTCTAGACTTGTATATTCTATACAAGCGCAAACCTTAAAAGTATAGATCTAACTACCTATATACTACATTATAAAAATCAGAACAACATATAATATATTATAATTATTATTTCTAAACATAAAATTACAAAAGATTTTTAGAAAAAAGACTACATTTAGTCGTCGTTGTAGTTGTCGTCATAATTTTAATCGGCGTCAACGTCACATGACCTTTTCGATGACGATGGTAATTAATGTGATGATGACGATGACGTCTTTCCTTCACTTTCCTCTCCGGAAGTTGACCGCTCACCCAGGAGTTGGGGGACTCCGCCATCGGTGCAGCCGGCCTCTCCTCTATCGGTGGCGTTCCTGCTCGTTGCCATGGATCCTGTGGAGAGGTCAGTGAAATTAAGGGAAAAGTCAAATAATTTTATTTCAAAGAAATTTTAATTCAATTGTTCAAAGATACTTCAATTTTTTAAATAAGTTTTATTAAAAAATAAACACATTAATTAAAATTTTCTTTAAATTAATACAAATTTTAAATAATGTTATTTAAAATTCGGATAAAATTTTGCATTTTCATAAAAATAATACAATTTGTTGGGACGGTATCAATTTCCCACAATTCAAATGTATATAGGAAAACTGAATAAGTTAAAATGCATACGAGAAAACTATATACAAGTAAATTTAAAAAATAAAATCATTAAATTATGTACTTTTGATTCACAGTCAGCGAAATGAGCAACTCAAAAAAAGAACAAAATTATTCAAGGCAACCATTTAAATTTTTATATCTCAATTTTTTATTGGATTTTTAATTTCTTTAGACTTTTTGATCAGGACGAAAAATCCAAAAAGTAAGATTCTGAAATTGAAAAGTTCAGCATCTGTACTCCAATTGAACGCAGCAGCAGTGCCACTGTGTGATAGGTGTCGTGCTAAAATGTGAAACGGATTTTGACTTTGGCTTGAGGTACAGATGTTGTACTTCAAATGCTACTGTTTAGAAGTACAGTATCTGTCGATCGCTATGAAATAGATCCTGTACTAATTAGTTCGTACCGCCGCCGCGCTGCTTGAGCATAGTATCTGAACTATGAATGACACCAACTGAATAAAATTAAGAACAGGCACTGACACGCATTTTACACGGCCGGTGTTTGTCACAGTACGGATTCTGTGCTTTTCTTCTCTCAGTGCAGTTTAAATTTGTACAGTTTTTTTAATTTAATTATTGAATTGAAATTTTAATTGAATTTTTAAAATAATTTTATTAAAAAATTATAAAATTAATTGAAATTTTGTGAAACTGTCTTAAAAATATTACATAAAAATAATACAATTTGTTAAAAAAAATTTATTAGAAATTAAAAAAAACCAAAGTCTCAAATATTTTTTATTTAATAATTTATAAATAATTGAATTGATTTATACAAAAAGTTACAATTACAATTTTTATTAATTAGTAAATTTTAAAATGATTTAAATTAGGTAATTTTTTTAATAAAAGTCTCGAAAAATTTTATTTAAAATTCTAAAAATTTAAGTTTTTAAAATATTTTAATTTTGTTATTATTAATTAAATTGTAGATAATTGAAAATTTATAAACAAGTAATTGGAAGTTTGTAAAATAATTTTAATTTCCTAATTCTATTAAAATTTATTGAATTTTTAAAGAGTTTAATTGTAATTTTTAAAAATAACACAGCCACACAAAAAAAAAGTTCTGATCTAGGGGTCTCACTATGTAGACTTTATGTTTTTTGGGTCGCTGAATCCGAATCCGAGGTCCATTTAAACCTATCAGATCAGGATTTTGACATAACCTCAAAAAACCAATATGGCGGACACGTTTTTGAAAAGTTCATCGGATTCGCTTGAAATTCGTTACTCGGGGGTTTTTGGGGTCGCTGATTACGAATTTGAAGTCTGATTTCAAAAATTCAAAATGGCGGTTCCAATATGGCGGACACGTTTTTGAAAAATTCATCGGATTCGCTTGAAATTTGTTACTCGGGGGTTTTTGGGGTCGCTGATTACGAATCTGATGTCGGTTTTTCAAAATTCACAATGACACAGACATATTGGATCCGCCATTTTGAATTTTTGAAATCTGACTTCAAATTTGTAATCAGCGACCCCAAAAACCCCAGAGTTACAAATTTCAAGCGAATCCGATGAATTTTTCAAAAACGTGTTCGCCATATTTGATCCGCCATTTTGAATTTTTGAAATCAGACTTCAAATTCGTAATCAGCGACCCCAAAAACCCCCGAGTAACGAATTTCAAGCGAATCCGATGAACTTTTCAAAAATGTGTCCGCCATATTGGTTTTTTGAGGTTATGTCAAAATCCTGATCTGATGGGGTTAAATGGACCTCGGATTCGGATTCAGCGACCCAAAAAACATAAAGTCTACATAGTGAGACCCCCAGATCAGAACTTTTTTTTTGTGTGGGTGTGTAATAGACAGAAGTTTGATACAGTAACAAATTTTATTTTTAGCTGTTTCAATTTTTTAAAGCGGGATCAGGGAAAAAGTCAAAA